CACCAGTGCCCATTGACGAACGAAGCCGCCACTCCTGCTTATGGTGATGGGACTACGACGAATGATGAATCTGACCAGGTGGATGTGGATACGGCAGAAGTTCAAGAAGGAGGAAGCAAAAAAATAGTTCGACCCACCCAGAACCCGGTGACCGGAAATAGATCGGCGGTGATAGACCCACACCTAGGTCCTCAGATGTTAATTAGCCGAGATTTCCGAAGGGGAGTTATTGGTCCGGATAAGGCGGGATTGGGGAAGGGAATCAAAGATAAGCAGCACGACGGGATGAAAATCAGGGATAACACGAAAGCAGGGAATAAGAATCCAGGATCGCAGACAATCTTGAAGGAGAAATCGGCGGGATCTGAGCCACAAAAAAGTGGGAATTTTGGGAAGGACTTTTCTAGTCAACAAACTGTGTGGGTCCGTGTAGGGGCTAAGAGAAAAAATGCTGATAAACCCAAGGCCCATGGTAAAGAAAACAAGATTTCAGATAAGTCTTCATTTAAAGGAAAAGGCTCCTCCAGTTATACCTCCCAGCCCATCACAACAAAAAATTCTTTTTCTACTCTTCTCCCTAGTCAACCCGAGATCGCAACCTTTAGAGATGGGGACCACATCCTGAATAACGGACCTAGACGTACAGACTTGGATTCAGTTTCGCAAGACCAGCGGGATACTATTGAGGGACCCCCTTTCATTAAGTCCTCTGCAGACTTTAATCATAATAAGGATAAGAACCAGATTTCAGATGCATCTACCTCTGGGACCTCGGTAACGCAAAACGGTGTGACAGAAATGGATATTGTCCAGGTGGCGGACATTAAAACAACACCGGCCCATCCAGCTGTTTCCCCATGAATTTCATGATATGGAATTCAAGGGGTACAGGCTCGAAGTCTTTTCCTAGCCTGATACAGGAAATAAAAAAACATTATCATCTAGACTTCCTGGCTCTTCTAGAAACACGGTCAAATAGGAAAAATACAGAAAAAAGAATTGGTAGCCTCGGGTTTCAAGGCTCCACTTTCATTGATGCAGAAGGCTTTTCTGGAGGTATTTGGTGCTTGTGGAATGATGGCATTAGCAAAGTAAATGTTATAGAGAGTCAACGACAATTTATTCATCTCCTCATCGAAAACAATAAAAATGAGAGCTGGTTTCTAACCATTGTCTATGCCAGTCCCAATATTGTGAGTCGACGCAATTTATGGGCAGAACTGTCACGCATAGGGGCTAGGATTAATCTTCCGTGGCTTCTTGGAGGAGACTTTAATGCAACTCTCATGTCAGACGAAAGACGATCTAATGCTCCCCATAAAATTTCCACTGATCGTGAATTTATTAAATGGCTTGATGAGTCAAACGTCGATGACTTGGGCTTTGTGGGACCAGACTTCACTTGGAGAAGGGGTAATTCTGAAGCACGTCTTGACCGTTTCCTGGCAAATGAAACATGGTGCCAGCTTTTTCCTAATGCTCGGGTGTCACACCTCCCCTTTTTTAAGTCTGACCACCGACCAATCCTGCTTCGCCTTGATTTTCCTGCCATCAAACCCCACCGACCGTTCCGCTTTATAGCCTCTTGGGTGCTTCATGATCAGTTCGGTGACTTTGTTCGCAATAACTGGAAGGAGGAGATTGGTTGGAACCCAAATATAACCCAATTTGCTGATGCGTGTTGTAAGTGGAACAGATCGGTATTTGGACACATAGAGTTGCGTAAGAAAAAACTCATGAGAAGACTGGATGGTATTACTCGTGCTATTCAACGCGGGTGGAATGTCGGTTACTACGAGGAACTCCAATCGGAACTTTGGCAAGAACTTGAAAGTGTGATTATTCAAGAATCTTTATTGTGGGCCCAGAAAGCTAGAATGAACTGGAGCTTATATGGGGATATAAACTCCCGTACTTTTCACTCCCACGTAAATGGCAGGAGGAAGTCCAATCGAATTGATGCTATTAAGCTGAGTGATGATCAGTGGTGCTTTGATACAGAATCTATTAAACAAGCAGCTACGACTTTCTTTGCATCTCTTTTCAAAGAGGAAATCTCAGATAGAGGGGACATGGATTGCGCTATTACCTACCCACCAATTGACGATGTGTCTTTACGCTGGTGTGGTAGAGATGTGGATGGAAATGAAATTAAAGAAGCTCTCTTTAGTATAGGGTCTTTGAAATCTCCTGGCCCAGACGGTTTCAACGCAATATTCTATCATAACCAATGGGCTACTGTTGGTACTTCTATCGTGCATTTCATCAAGCACCTCTTTGCTCAGCCTCAGAATATTCGAGAGGTTAATGGAACCTTGATTGTTCTAATTCCAAAGAAGAATCCTCCGGAGACCTTTAAAGACCTGAGACCGATCAGCCTTTGTAATGTCATCTACAAGGTAATGACTGAGATTATTGCTAATCGTATGAAGTCCTTTATGCCTCAGGTGATTTCACCTAACCAATGCGGCTTTGTACCTGGCCGCCTCGCTTCGGATAATATTATAGTGGCCCAAGAAGTTATACATTCTATGAGAAATATGCGAGGAAAGAAAGGCTTCATGGCTATAAAAATTGATTTGGAGAAGGCATATGATAGAGTCAATTGGCAGTTCTTAATCAGGTGTCTTCAGGAGCTAAAGCTTCCATTGCATTTTATCAAGGTAATTGAGAATTGTGTCGGTTCAACTACTCTTCAGCTTCTATGGAATGGGAATAAAGCGGACGTCTTTGAGGCTTCACGTGGAATTCGCCAAGGAGATCCTATGTCTCCTTACCTATTTGTTATTTGTATGGAGAAATTAGCACACCTCATCCAAGAAAGGATGGAAAAAAAGGACTGGAGACCAATTAAACTTACAAAAAATGGCCCTCCTATTTCCCATTTATTCTTTGCAGATGATATTTTATTATTCTCTGAGGCCTCATTACATCAGGCGACCATGATTAAAGAATGTCTGGACAGTTTCAGCCGCTGCTCTAGGATGAAGGTCAGTATCGCTAAGACTCGTGTCTTCTTCTCCCCGAACATGAATCATAACAGATGCAGCGAAATTAGCTCTCGGTTAGGCTTCACTCAAACAGCGGACCTGGGAAAATATCTAGGAGTTCATATGCACCACAAGCGTGTTGGCAAGGATACTTTCCAAGAAACCGTGGATAAAGTCAAGACCCGACTAGGAAAATGGAAGACCACCTCGCTATCCCTGGCAGGTAGAGCTACTCTCATTTCTTCGGTCACGTCGGCCATCCCGGCCTATGCTATCCAATCCTCTTTGATTCCTCCTACCACTTGTGATGCTCTGGACAAACTTAATCGAGCTTTCTTGTGGGGTAGTACCGAGGAAAAGAGAAAGACTTCACTGGTAGCTTGGGAGACGACTTGCAAGACGAAGGCGAGAGGAGGACTGGGATTAAGGCATGCGAGGCCACAAAATCACTCTCTCTTGATGAAGTTAGGATGGAGGATGGTTAAAAACCGTGATACTTTTTGGGTTAAGGTAGTCAGGGATAAGTACAGATGCGGGCACGACCTTATCCCAAGGATCGATATGGAACGTCCTGGATCAAATGTATGGAAGGGCATCAAACAGACTTGGAACACCCTGAAGGACGGTCTTGAAGTCAGCTCTGATAATACCAATGCGCGATGGAAGTGGGAGAGAAGTGGTCAGTTTACTACTAAGTCTGCGTATGACCTATTAACTAAAGCTGAAGTGGAGGAGGATCCCCTCTGGCATCGATTCTGGAAACTACCTGTGCCCCACCGTTGCCGAACCCTCGTCTGGTTGGCTTCTCGCCGGAGCCTTCTCACGAACGCCATGCACAGACGGCGAGGATTAAGCGACGATGATAGTTGCCCCGTATGCCAGCGGGGGGTTGAGGATATGAGCCATGTGTTTCGTGACTGTCCAGAAACCCGTCTCCTTTGGACATCTATATTGCCTTCCCCAGCATGGAGACACTCTTGTACGATGGATTTTGCGGCGTGGCTTCAGTGGAACATCACTTATAAGCCAATGGACTTGGAAAATTGGAGCGCACTTTTTACAGTCATCTGCTGGTGGATATGGAGGCGCCATAACTTATATGTCTTTGAGAACAAGAAGACTTCTAATGATACGATCATTGCTAATGCGAAAGCTGTGGTTAGACAAATTCAGGAAGCTCGCCAAAGGTTGAAGGGTACGAATATCCCAGGAGGGCGACATGTCTCAGGTAATACCATGTGGTCCCCTCCTAACAATGGTTGGGTGAAAGTCAATACTGATGGAGCTTTTTCGGTACCTCGGCAAGCAACCGCGTGTGGGGGTTTGCTTAGAAATTCTGAAGGGAGATTCTTGAAAGGGTTTATACACCGGCTGTATGATGGCGATGCATTGAGTGCCGAGCTTTGGGCTTGCCTTCATGGCTTGAAAATGGCATGGGATGCAGGGCATAGAAAAGTCATTCTGGAGACGGATGCAACAGGAGCGATTGATCTCTTGACCACTGAACCAAATGAACATCATGCGGACTACGTAGTTAGTAGAGAGGCGCATGCTTTACTGAACAGGGATTGGGAGGTCAGAGTCGATTTTGTGCACAGATCCGGCAACAAAGCAGCAGACTACCTCGCCAAACAAGGACTCGCGGCAGCTCATGGTTTTTGTTTTGTTATTGAGGCTCCCCCTGAGCTTGTTACGATTTTGAATAACGACTACGCTACAGGCGTACAGTCGAATAGGATATAGTTAGGTTCTTGTTTTTATCAAAAAAAAAAAAGAAATAAAATAAGGGAAAAAAATCATACCGGTAGGACTTTCATGGCTTCCTGAAATTTTCTAACTTCTAAACAATTAAGACCCCAGTTAAATGGAAAGAAAATTCATTATTTCGCGGAAATTTCGGGCTACTTTGAGGAAGAAATTTCCTCAAAGCAGCTTCTTAGTTGATTGTTAACTCTTAAATGCAAACAATGGCCTAACTTGCTCATTTTTCCGTTGTGCCGATCAAATTCCCAACACAAGCGAGCTCACCAAATCAACTTCAAGTCTCCAACCTCATATTTGATCTGGCGATCCCAACCAGTAAGGTATTAATATGGTCTTTCTCCCTCATTCTCTAACGACTTAAACGCTATTCTTTTGTTCTTTTTAAGAAAAAATCAACAACTTACAAAAAATTAAATTGGTTTTCTTTTTGGTCTCCAAGGAATGGCTCTTTTTGCTTCTACTTCTTCTTCCCAAGTTCCCTCTGGAAATTATGAAGTTTTCATCAGTTTTAGAGGATCAGACGTCAGATTTGGTTTCCTCAGCCATTTGAAAAACGAGTTGCGTCAAAAGAACATAGATGTCTATGTGGATGACAGGCTGGAAAGAGGAGAAGAAATATCATTAGCACTTGTAGAAGCAATAGAAAGATCCATGATAGCATTGGTGATATTCTCAAAAGATTATGCTTCTTCAAAGTGGTGTTTGGAAGAGCTTGTCAAAATCATAGAATGTAAGGAAGCTGGTCAGCAGATTGTGATACCAATTTTCTACGATGTAGATCCATCAGATGTCAGGCACCAAAGAGGCACTTACGAGGAGGCATTAACTCATCATGAACAGAAACTCAAAGATAACGTGCAAAAGTTGCAAATTTGGAAATCTGTCTTGGAAAAAACTGCAAACTTAGCTGGTTATCATTCATCACATTTTCAGTAAGTTTATTTTTATTATTCTTAATTTCTTCAGCTTCCTCAATTTGCTGAAAACAATTTAAATATGGTAAAAGTATATTAAAGTTATGTCCAGCGTTAAGTATTTCATTAATGAGTAACTTTAATAATATTAGTTGTTTTTCATATGCTAGGGAAGAATATGAACTGGTCAATGCAATAGTTGAAGGAGTCTTGAGAAAAGTGGAACGTAACGATCCAATTGTGCCAAAATCTGAACTCATTGGATTTCATCAAAATTTCATTAGTGTTGAATCATTAATGGAAATTGAGTCACCAGAAGTTCGAATTCTTGGAATTTGGGGCCCAGGAGGAATAGGCAAAACAACCCTTGCATCAACTATATTTGACAAATTCTCATCCAAATTTCAAAGTCATTGCTTCTTACAAAATGTGAGAGAAGAATCAACAAAGATTGGTGGTTTGAGTCCTTTGTATCAAAAACTTCTTTCTGAGCTATTGGATCAAAAAGATCACATAAATATGAACCGAGCAGTGAGAAGACTGAAACAAAAAAAGGTGTTAATTGTACTTGATGATGTGGACAACCCAGAGCAGCTAAAAGATCTGGCTAGAAAACAACCTTACTTGGGGCGAGGCAGTAGAGTCATTGCAACAAGTAGAGATAAGCATGCTCTTAAGAGTGGAGGGATTCATGAAAAGTATATACATGAAGTCAAGGAGTTAAATGAAGAAGAATCACTTGAGCTTTTCTGTACACATGCCTTCAATCAAAGTCATCCCAATATGGGATATGAAGAGCTATCAAAAAGGACGGTAGCCATTGCTAAAGGCATTCCTCTAGCTTTACAAGTTTTGGGTTCCCATTTTTATGATAGAGATGAAGCATATTGGGAAAGTGAGCTTAGGAAAGTCCAAAACTGTCCCCGTCAGAAAATTCAAGATATATTGAAGGTGAGTTATGATGGATTAGATCCTATAGACAGGAACATATTTTTAGACATTGCATTTTTTTTTTGTGGGACACCAAAAAGATGAAATTACTTATGTGCTAGAGGCTTGTGGTTTCCAAGCGGTTAGTGGAATACAAAATCTTATAGATAAAGCTCTCATAAAGTTAGATAGCTATCACTGTATTGTAATGCATGACTTGATGCGAGAAATGGCTGAGCAAATAGTTCATGAAGAATGTATCAAACGTCCTGAATTCCGTAGTCGATTAAATGATGTAGATGAAATATGTGATGTGTTAAAAAATAACAAGGTAAGGGAAAGATACTTCAATTTATTTCTTCCATTTTTATTTTTTGACAATTTTTCTAAAATGTTTAATATTTGTTTTATTTTATTTTATTTTTTGTTTAGGAAAAAGATGAAATTGAAGGCATTTCATTGGATGTGTCTCAAATCAAATATCTACATTTAAGAGCAAATGCCTTCTCGAAGATGAATTGAGAATACTCAAAGTTTTTAATAGGCAATGGTTTGAAACCAAGACATGTACAGAGCTTTCTTTTGGTCTTGACTCTTTTCCTAATACATTAATGTATTTTCAATGGGATCATTACCCATGCAAGTCTTTGCCATTAGACTTTTGTCTTGAAAACCTTGTTGAACTACAAATGAAAAGAAGCAATGTTACAAAGCTTTGGGATGGAGTGCAGGTACTTGTATATATACTAGTCTATATTTTATATAGGTTCAGTCAAATTTAATTTATTAGGGCCTTTGGGGTAATTTTTTTTCGTTTTCATTGTCAATACAGGTTCTTGAGAATCTAAGGACAATAAATTTGTTTCAATCCGTTAAATTGATGGAATTGCCTGATTTTTCTATGGCACGTAAGCTTGAAAATGTAGATCTCACTGGTTGTACAAGTTTGAGGAGTGTTCATCCATCCATTTTATCTCTCCACAGTCTTGTTAAATTGCATGTAAGTGATTGCCATGAATTAGAGAGTCTTGAAAGTGAGACTCATTTAGAATCTCTCTTCAATCTCAGAGCTAACTTTTGTGGCCTCAAGAAATTATGTTTGTCATCAAATAAATTGGAAAGCATACGTCTTCTAGGGACTAAACTTGAAATATTGGATTTGCCAATCGGACGTTTCACAAAGCTTAGACGTCTTTCTATTTGGGACGGTGAAAGATTGAGGAGTCTTCCAATAAAGGAGCTGTGTTGCTTGACAAATCTTGAGGTGTTTGGGCTTGATGATTTCGAGCAAGAAATTCACACAGAGGAGCTGCGCTCCCTTTTTGATGCTTGGCGTAACTTAACAGGACTAGCTTTGGATGGGTGCAGTTACTTGTCGGAAATCCCTGGCAATATCAAGTGCTTAACAAGGTTAGAATATTTATCATTGGCATTTAGTGGTGTAGAGACATTGCCAGCCTGCGTCAGCCATCTTTCAAGCTTGACATCCATTGACCTACATGGCTGCGAAAGGCTTAAGTCGATACTTGGACTTCCTCCCATGCTTAAAAGATTAAATGCCAACTATTGCCCTTTATTGGAGACTGTATCCTCTGACTCTCTAGTTTTCAATCGGTGTTTGTTTGAATTCGAAAATTGTGTAAAGTTGGATGAGTGTTCGCTTGGCTTTATTGAGGAATTAACTCATTTCTCACTGACTTCAGATTTCTCATCTTATGAGGATGAATTTTTTCTACATGATTTTGCTCGTTACCCGGGAAACAGAGTTCCAAAGTGGATGAAATATAAACAAATGACAGAGGCTTCCAATACCATCCAATTCACTTGCAATCTTGAACGAGAAATTGACATATTTTTGTTGTGTTGCTCCTCATCATCTCCTCAGATCACTGGAACAGCTCCCTCCCGTCACCTGTTATATCACTTTTGATGATATTGTGACCAAATCCAGCACTGGTTATGAACTTCTTGAAGAATTAGATTCAGACCATGTTTTTATGTGGAGCATGGGGAGGGTCCCATCTGGTGCTAGAACAGGTGATGATGTTAAGATTTCATGTGAATTCTTTCTGGAACAATTGGATTCAGAGACGGGAGTTTGTTACTCCGAAGTCCCTGCTGAAGCATGTGGAGTACACGTAACATATCGCTCGGAGTCGGAGCCTGGGTCGGGTCAAAAAAGAAAGAGGGTTGTAGATATAGGTGTTGAAGATGGAGTCCCTCCCACGAAGCGACTCAACAATTCTTGGATCTGCTACTCAAGAAGAAAAAAGAGGACCCTTTGCAACTCAAGTTAAATATAGATTCGGACATGGTATGGTTTTTATTAATATGCTCCAATCTCCTACTCTTCATTCTTTTTTCTTTTCTCAAAAACAGATTCCGATTTTTCTTGGGGAGATATTGCCATTAATCATTTGTATATTTCTTCTAAAGTGTTATTACCTTTATTTTTGTTTTGTATCTTTGATTAGCTCCAGGGATGAGTACATTGGACGCAGCCAGAGCAGAACTTAGTCTTTTGACTTTATATTTGAACAAGGTTGAAGCCAGGGTGAAAATACGTAGTGCAAACGGTATGGTTTCGACTTCCTAAGTGTATGGCCAACCTGGTATTGCTCAGAATGTAAAGTTATTCTGTTTTATCCTGAAATAATTACTTCACACATTTATAAAAAAGTCTTCTTACTTATCTTCATCCTCTTAATTCCTTTTTCTTTTGGGTCAAGTCTCGATTTATTTAAATAAAGAAAACCAGATACTTCTACCCGTGTGAATGTTACACTTTCTCTTCTGCTTAGAAAGTTTCAAAACAATTATTTCTCAAATTATTGGTCTCTTCTTACACTTGAAGAGCAATTCCGACATAGAAAAGAAGTTGCAAAATAATTGATATTTTATTGTTCTTTACAGCCATCACTGCTTGTATCCTTCGTTATGCAGTTTGCCAATGACTTGCATGCTCCGATAAGTTCAGCTCCACGTGGAGCTCCCTTTCCCTTAATTCAACTCGTCATCGTTGTCTTGTTACGCTTTTTCCAGCCCAAAAATGCATTGCTCTGTCAACCTTTTTTTTTTTTTGGTTTCTGGATCAATTTGTGTGGGTTGGAAGATCAGGAATCTGTTTTGCAGCAACCTCTCTATCAACTTGCACTGACAAAATAAGTCAAGTTCTTGATAATTTCTCTTGTGTATTAACGTTGAGTAAGCCATATATATAACATTAAAGTCCTTGGAGATGGATGTTCTGTCAATTTAGTTTTTAGAACTTGATTATCGTCATTTAAACTCCTCACAACTTTTAATACATCAATTATATAATCTTCCTTCAACTTTGTTGATGGTAAAATCATATTTATGGGGTCTCAGGGGATGCAAGTCGCATTTTACTCTGAAAATTGAATTCAAGTTTTAAACAGATATTTTCCTTGTACACTCTTGAAGGGTTTTTGTGATGATTCTGTTATTAATTTGTTGAGATTTAAGTTGGGAGTATTTCTCTTTTTGCGTTGATATTTTATGCAATGCAGGTGCTTCCTACCTCAAGCTTGCAGGAGAGCTTTTTGCTGATCAACGAGGTGTCTTTGACATGTCCATTATATGTAGTACCAATATTGGGTTATGACCATTTAAGGTTGAAAAAGCAAATGGATTTTGTAACTTGTTGATTCTTCCTCTTGTCGTAGGCTGGCCCCTTACCTTTTACTATATTAGTATGTTGAATGGCTGCATCACAAGCATTTTATAGTTCTGATGATAAAGAACAAAGAAGCAGTGGATGCTTGAGTGCCAAGTAATATGAGATGCACAAATCCCAAATTTTATCTATCATTTTTAAATTAAAATCTGTTCAACTATAATTTTTTTAGTAATTTACTCTCTGCCTTGATCTAAACAGATCTGTAAATATAGAATATATCTTTACAGCATATTGATCAAGACTAAAATATTATTTTTGTTGTTATTTTTCAATTAGCATTGTCTAGGTTTTGTGAATTGAATGATCGGCATGCATTTTTTAAAATAACCAATCAACATACATTTTGGTGATTAAGGGCCATTCTAAGGCAATTTCTTTTGGAGACTGGTTCCTCCGCTGCCTTAATATCCACCGCTCCTCCTTTCCTTAAAACGATGTCGTTGGGTGAAGAAAATGACCAACAAGAAAAAGGAGATTGCACGAAAGGCATGAATGGGAAATTGCTGATTAATGTTTTGTTTTGGAATATGATTGAAGAATAAAAATTTAACAATTTTAGGACACTGATACAAGTAATTTACAACTAATTTATATCTATAAATAAAAACAATTAAAACCGTTAAATTTATCATAAATTCAAGTGATTTTCAATATCATTCTTATTAGATATTAAATTTCACTATCGTTTTTTGCCAAGAAATTTCTACTCTCTTTTATTACTCTTATTAAATACAAGCATGTATGAAAAAAAATCCTACTACCGATTCTAATTATAAGATTTCGTTTATAGTCTATAAATAAAATATTATAATGAGGACTGGGGGTAGTATTTAATTTTTTTGGGCACAGTAAATTTCTTATAAAAGGACTAAAAATGCCTTACAAAAAGTGTATAGTAGGATATTCGCTACTTTCTCTTATCTCTATTATAAGACATCTTCTAAAAAGTATTTTTAGTCCTTTTATAAAGCATTATACTCCTCACTGTTATCGTTAAATATGAGTATGCATGAAAGAAATACTATTTAAAATTCTTTTAATTACAACCTAGTAAATTCTTATAGAATTGGCTAAAAATACCTTCTGAAAATGTCTTATAGTAGCATGTGCTCTATATTATAGTAGGGCATTTACTACTTTCTCTATTTTATTATATGGCATTATTTAGAAAAATGATTTTTTTTGTCTTTTTTGTAATTAATAACTCATTTGAACTTTATGATAAGTTTAAAACTTTTATGACTTAAAGTATACATTTAGTCCTTTAATTTTGTAAGTTTCAATTTAGTCCCTTAACTTCAAAAGTATACTTTTAATATCCTAAAATTGTTAACAAAGAATAATGATATTGAGATCTTAAATACTAACATATTAAATTTTATTTTGAGAACAACCATGATTATTGCAAAAAAATCACCATTTAAGCCTGATGATTTTAGGGATAAAGAGCCAAATATATGCTTTTAAAAGTTAAGAGAACAAATTGAACCTTGCACAAAATTAAAAGATCAAATATACTTTAGCATAGTTTTATTTATTTTATTATACGTATGAATTAGTTATAAATGACTTATGTTTTAAATAAAAGGGAGTATGTTTTATCAATGTCTTAAAATTGTTAAATTTTTATTCTTCAACCACGTTCCCAACAAAAAGTTGATCAGCAACTTCCCATTCACGCCTTTCCTGCAATTTTTCCCCCCTTGCCATTTTCTTCACCAAACGACACCGTTTTATGGCAAAGGAACGGGTTACTATTCACATGATCTTCCGTTTTGGATACGTCATAAGCCTTTTATAGTTTTGATGATAAAGAAACTAAGTAGTCCGTTGGGGGGAAAAAAAAAGAAAAAGAATTAAGTAGCATGGAATGCTTGAATGCCAAGTAATATGAGATGCACAAATCCCGCATTTTATCTATCATTTCGAAATTAAAATCTGTTCAACTATAATTTTTTATTAATTTACTTTGCCTTGCTCTAAATAAAGCTGTAACTATAGAATATATCTATCACAAGACTATATATATTTTTTTTATTATTTTTCAATTGGCATTGTAATAGTCTTCGTGAATTGAATCATCGGAACTAATAAAAAGTCTTTTAGATCGGGTAGAATAGGTATTTCATAATCGGCATTGAAAATAGAACTTTTTACGCCACTTCTGCTGTCAATTATTGTACATATTAGAATCTTTATTTAAAAAAGATTTATTTTTGGGAAAATGACATTGAGGGTCCCATGGTGAAACAAATACATCAAATAGGTCCCCTGAAATCTGATATTTTTTTGAAGTCCCAAAGGGACTCAGATGCAATTTTCAGAATCTTCAAATGACTTATTTGCCCTTACTATGATTTCCCATTCAAAATTGCTGAGACTGAAAATTTGAAACCCTGTTTGTTGTTCGACCAAAGAAACCATCTGGCGCCTTCGTCCTGTTCGAAATCGTTCGTGCTGAGAATCCGGCCACAACCCACCGTGCTGCTTCAAATCTACTCCACAACCCACCGAAAATCATGACCAAGTCCTTGAAAGCCTATCGCGGTGGCTCTGTTTTGGTGGAGCAAAGTGAAGTAAAGCGGGTGAAGTCCTGGTGTTGGAAGCGAAGCAGAGCGAAGTGCTGGCGTCTCGTTCATCGGTGTTTGAAGCAAAGTGGAGGTCGTCCTGGTGTTTGAAGCGAAGTGGAGCTCGTCCTGGTGGCTCTATTGATCGGCATTTGAAGCGAAGTGGAGGTCGTCGTTGTGGCTCTGTTCATCTGCATTTGAAGCAAAGTCGAGCTTGTCGTGGTGGCTCCGTTGATCGGCATCAGAAGCGAAGTGAAGGTCGTCGTGTGGCTGCGGTCATTTGCGTTTCAAGCGAAGAGGAGTCGTCTGGTGGCTCCGTTGATCGGCATCTGAAGCAGAGCTCCTATCTCACAATTTGTTTTCGCAGACAGAGGCATTGTCGACACTGAAGAAGGTAAAAGCGTATGAATCAGAAAAGCATGTCTTGGCAGTTTGTTGTTGCGTTTGATCATTGCGAATATTTGCATCAAATACACGGGATGCTTTTGATTATGCTTGGCCAATGTTTTTTTTCCCTTGACCATAAGATGGTATGCGTATTGGAGCATGTTTAAAACTGATACTGATGAGGCATTAGCCTTCTAAAAGCACTTCCAAGAAGTTTTGTAAGAAGAATGATACATGATGAGATGAG